ATCTGCTGCAGACTCACTTTAGGTCATCATTGTAACATTTCTCTTACATGTGATACACTTTGCAGCAGGTGGAAGTGTACTTTATGAATTCCTTATATAACCTGAGTTTAAAACACACATTAATATTACATTTCACACAGATATCCTGATTATAGCTGTTCATGCTACAATAATTACAGTATGGAGCTACAGTGAGTTAATGTTATTCTTAAATTGATTTGTATAACTACTGCCCTCTACTGCTTAGTTATCAAGAGTTACTCAACATGCCTCAAACTTCTTTGATCACATTGCATTTGTGTTTGGATTTATTTTGCAAGGAAGAGAATATCCCACAGTTTAGCCTACGATAAGTCTTGTCACAGGTCAACATAGTGGTTATTATATCTTGTTTCTCTACAGGTCCTTAACCTGTGTACTTATCACCACGATTTTGTAAGTTTACAAGAACTTCATTTTTCATGTGCGTTTTATCACACAGTCCTATCAAGGACTGAAATGACTGTGTCGCAAAGTACAATGCTTGATACAACAATGCATCACTTGAGTTTTTGGTGTGCTCCTTACAGAAAGTTGAGTTTATCTGAGGTATACACATCACAGAAAGTTGAGCCTGAACTGAGGGGGGGAGCAGAATGCACTCCTTTCAGCTCAAACCTTGGCCCAGGGTCCGAGGAGAGACAATCAGAGCCGAGTAAAGGAGCTGGATCGACTCCCTGCCCTACTAGAGGAGCAACCTGGAGAGGGAAGGGAAAAAAAGAATAAGGAAAGCGTGTGTGTTAATGAAACAGTGTCAATAAGTGGGAAGAGTCAAAAATCAACCTAAGAATGAGGAGTCTCTTATTTGTTGAGATAATAACCTACATCGCATGCATTTAGAGTGGATTTTGTATGTTTGTGTGTACCTCAGGTTGAGGAAGGTTCACATCTATATTAATTGGGTTGTACCTCTATACGGTAAAACAAATGCAAGTCAGAAAAATGACAACATATTGCAGGAATCCCATCATGCTTTGAGGGATGTAAAAAGGAAGAATAATGTTGGCTTGGATTCAATGTGTTATGCTTTTAGTCTATATTTGTATACATTTTGGCAAATTGGCACCATCTTAAGTATGCAGAATTAGTTACCGGCAGTTTCTGTTTGCAATGTCCCCATGGATGTACAAACAACTATCAATGGATTACTTTGATATTGAAGAAAACATTTTAAAAAGTTATTTTGTGTGCCCAGATTTAGTGTAGCAACTGGTTTGTGTGCCATTATGTTTTTTACATATTGTAAAACTTAATAAAAAACTTGCACAATTACAAAAAGTGATGATTTTTAAGCAAATTCTAAAGTTGTGAGAAGTGTCTTTTTACTATGATTTCCTATTGGATTCATAGAATAGAATAGAATAGAATAGTACTTTATTCATCCCCAAGGGGAAATTTGTCAATAGACCTCTTTCACAATGATCATAATGATTGGAAATTGATGATATCCTCGTAAAGTATAATTCACACTGAACCCATGAATGTATGTATCATATATGTGTGTATTAAAAGATAGGTTCACAATAAAAATAATAGTCTGGTGCCCATAAGAGCTATGAAAACACGTTTTACTTGCTGTAATCATTCATCCTGGTCATACTGGCCATCAAAAGTTCCCATCTTAATGTGAAACCAATTTAAGTGATTGGGGACAAAATCTTCCAAGCTTACAATATTTTTTGGACAAAATGTCCTTTTTGCATCACTGTCCCTCACAGCTCAGCAATAATTCACTGTTCAGGGAAATATAAGAAGGGAATTTGGGACTTAAAAGGCAGTAGTAACTTTGAACGATACCAACTTGATTTGATTAACTCAGACTTAATTTTGTCCCCCATCATTTACATTAGAAGCACAACAAGAATGGATTTCTTAACGGGCAGTATTCCAAACGCCTCGTAGTCTGAAAACCTTTGTATAACACTTACCGATGGCTCAAGCGAGATAGTTGTACGTTCTCTAGAAACTACGGCATTCCTTGAGTAATGAGAAGAGTGATCTAGAGCAGGTGCAGCAGAGTAACCTGGGGCCACAGGTGGATTCGTATTCTGCAATTGGAAGGCAAGATATTGAAGTAAAAATACTACAGCAATACATATTACAAACAGTTGGTCTAATTTGAGGAAGTACTTACACGGTAATACGCAGCAGGTGTGGCTGCAGTCTGAGGAGCAGACTCGGCCCTCTTGGAAGAGCTCTTTTTACAACAGCACTTCCTCACACAGCAACAGCAGACGATCACAGCAAAGATAATCCCGACAACAATACCAACATAAGCAACTGTTGCAAATTCTTCTGTAAGAGCTGAAGAACGGGGAGGGGGTCATGTTAATGTGAATCATCAGTAACTGTTCATACGTTTGTTTTTTTTACAAAATAATGTGCTGTTGCTCACCCGGGTTTACCGACACCTGCACAGTCTGGACCAGGTAGCCTTGTTGGTCTCTAAACTCAAAGGTGCCAGAGTCTGTGCTTTCCACAGGGTCAATCTCTATGCCGTTATACACAGCCACCATCCGCCCGGTAAAAGTTCCTAAGTCATAATCTGTGAACAGATTGCCTTCATGCATCAATGTTTGCTTTTCCTTTTCCCCCTCAGGTGTAAAAGCCACAGTCCACGGGGTAATGCTCTGAGGATTTAGGATGAGGAGCCGCTCGTTCACCTTTGTAATATAGTCTCTTTTGAACTCTGTGGGTGATAAAGCGTATATAGTGTCAGAACATTTTAATAGATACGCAGCAGTCTAAAAGCTCACATGCAGATTCAATTTCCTAACATCACCTCTGACTTCCAGCAGTATCCTAGACAGCAAAGTGTTGTCTTTTGCTCTGATGTTGTAGTGGCCCATGTCTGCCTGATTGAGATTCCTTATCTCCCAGACATTACGTCTAAACCGCCCTCTGCCTCCGGTATTGGTCTGAGGGTCGGTGCGATTCCACAAGACCTTTAACTGGTCCACACTGTGAAGGGGAATGAACTCCAGGAATTCAGCCTTTCTAGGAACCGTAGTCGAGTATACGTCCCTGTAATACTTCACTACCTTGTCAGCACAATCTGTAAAGGCATATACAGAAACAAACAGGGTAGACTTATTGCAAACACCTAATAGAAATAACTGTTTCCACAAAGGTTTTCTGAACCTTTCTTAAATATACAATATTGTGTAACATTCTCACCCCTAATTGTCAGTTTGACGACATCGTATCGTGCATCATTGTTATATGAGATGGAAAAAGTTCCTTCATCCCTTTCTGTCAAATCTGTGAATCTAACTGAGCCAATCTGAACTTTGAGGCGTGGGTGCTTTTCCTGAATCGGTGGACAACAAAAACACATTCATTTAGGACAGAGAGTAGATTCTGTTCATTCAAAACCTGGTTTGCTCTGACTTTCGTCATGTTACAGATCTTGGATGTCATAACTATTCTGGTGATGGTGTTAATTAAAGCGGCAGAAGTTGCTCACCTCCCCCTTATCCATCAGTAGCTTCCTGGATCCCCATTTAGTCGGAGTGAAGTACAACTGTCCATTGAAAAGAGGTGGTGTATAGGAAAATGGTAAAGTCAAACTTGTGCCATAGCACTTTTCTTCAGGCGTAACATCAGAGGATGAACCTTCAATCAGAAGAAGAAATAGATGGAGAGAATATTAAGATAAGTCAAATACAAAAAATCTGAGGACATGTGGATAACATACTTTAAACAACTTCAATACATTTGAAACCACAGAAAAGTTTGTGAATTATTTTGTATATGCTTAAATGTAATCATAGCGACAGATGTATACCAACATTCTTGCATGTTCCATTTGTTTCAGTGCCCACAAGATAAACAATGATGTATAATAACATAAAATAAGCCATGTTTAAAAAAAAATGAAACAACAATGATACAACCTCCACAGCAGAACTAAACTTATAATAACTAACTCAATTTAAAAGTAAAATGTATTGAGATGTATAGTGTCTCTATAAATTAAAACAATTTAAATAAAAACTTAAAGCTAATAAAATGCAAAGGAGGCTCAGAATCTAGATATGTGTGTTTTATTCAATTTTACTGAATTCATTAAATTAAATTAAATTAACACCTTAAACTTTTTTTGCTCTTTAAATAACATCAGAGTAAAATCTGAGTCTGGTTATGTAGGTTGGCTCGGGACTAAACACTGCATTTGCATATTAATAGAAATGTCCCACAAATACAAATAAAACACATTAGCACCAAGTACAATTTGAGTTTGACTATGTTACTGTTGTTTTCTTGTTTGATTTGATCTCTTTGCAAACATGAATTCAACAGCAGATATACAACTTATATTCCACATATATTTGCAGAACATACTGGGAACATATTTCACCCTGCAGTTGCTTTAAACGCTACTGACATAGTTCACAAAACTTAGCATTTTGCAGGGGTGACCGGGGATTGTCTCAGAACCTATAACTCCCTATATTTTTGTATTAAAGCTCTCAAGTTTGGACACAAAGCACCCCTATTTCTCAAACTACAAATAATGTTTCCAACTGCTCCAACTATATCACAGAATTAATATAATTATGTCAAATGCAGGAAGTTCCAGTACTCCCAACCTGCCCCACTACTGAGCTAAGTTTTAATAATAAGAGTGAAGAATTAAAAATTGAGACCACACCGCAAATTTGTCAAGTGGGTTGCAAATAACTTTAAGAATGTATTCCACACTGATGAACTGTTAATGAAACATTTACAACTTTAGAAGAAATGTCTTCTCTGTATGTCAATAGAAATGTATAGCCTACTATACGTGTCTCTGGGTGAGTTGTAATACTTTTTAAAAAGGTGTCATGACAATGACGCCTGTCAGTCATCGTTTAGCTGGTTGTAACATCATGGTGGTTTGAAATAAGCTTGAATGAAATACTTCACATTTTATAAGAGACTACTTTATAATTTAATACAAGTCTCATAATTAACTTAACATTTTGATCTTACATAATTCCACAGTATCGGTACCAATCAAAACACACACTTGGTTCAATAAATTACTTTCATACATGAAAATCGCTGTTTTGACTGTGAAATAAAAGTTGTGTAATTTCATAATATGCAAGGACAGGGAGGAAGATGTCAAACATGAAACTAGTCATGTCTCTCGCCCATCCCTTATTGGTGAAAGTGGTGCTGTTACAACCGCCCCCAGTCTCCCCTACACAGCCCTCACATATAAGATACCGAGACTTCGCTTATGAAGAATTAAAACAATGCAAGATATGCACGTCAAATAGATTAAACCTGCATCGGAGCATTTTTTTTTTCTGTGAGGTTGTATGGATTATACTCACCACCAAACAAGACCCAGGCAACAGTCGCGTACAACAATAACATGTCCTGCAGAGAGAGGAGTCGTTTACAGCACATGTTAACGTTTACTACGGTAACTTCTCTAAACTAAGAGCGCACAAAACTGAACAACGAGCACATTTGAACAAATTACAGGCAAGATGGTGTCTACTCACGGCAAAGTAGTTTTACTCTGAGTTACGGTCGAGTTTGTGTGTTAGAAGAACAACCGGACTGGGCGAGGCTTCCTCCACACTCTGTTTTTTCTTCATAACTGCGCTATGCGCAAACTGCGCACACATACCCATTATCAGGTGGTGGAGCATTCTACACATGTTTTCAAATGATTCAATGCATTTTGATTAATGTGTATGTTGTAGTTGGTTGAGATTGAGATAACTATATTTGGTCATTTGATCTATAAAAACACATCATAGGTTATGATTTGTTTTACTTACAAATGCTCTATAATTGTTTTAATAAATGTAAAAAGTACAACACTTCCCTCTAAATTGAAGTGGAGTAGAAGGAAGTGGCGTTGAATGGAAATACTGAAGTTAAGTACAAGAACCTCCGATTATTACTTAATTTCTCTGCAGAAAAAAAAGATGTAAGTAATAATAAGTAGTAGTATAGTAATAGTATAATAAAAGTGAGCATTGTAAATTCTTGAGAGCGTTTTAGATGTAATATTGTCACACAGCCCGTCAGGATGATCCCACGTTGTAACTGGGCACTTTCTTGCGCTAACAGCGTACTTATACCCAGGATCTGGCAAACGTAACGAAAGCATGTGACGCATCTTGCGTAGGAGCTGCAGAGAATACAGCATACCATCGCCATAAATAAAAGTGGACCAATGCCCATGCGCGCTCTGCAGAGGACGTTGTGATCCTCTTATCCCCATTCACATACACATTCTCAAATATCCAGCGGTGGATTTATTCTTCACACATCCTCCAGGTGAGTTCAGACTAGATGCGTCACGGACGATGTGATCATGTGTTCATTTATCAATAACTGGCGGCCTAATGGTCCGCTGCAACGCTGCAAATGTTGTCCATTGGCTGGGAAACACGTTGGACACCTGAGTGGACATTCAGACAGCAGACAGGGCGTCATGGATCACTGTTACAATATCGATTTGAGCTATATTTGGATGTACGTATGTATCGCTCTGCAGAAGCAACCACAGATGTCTTTGAGCGCCCCCTTGTGTAGCTTTGTTGACCGATGATGGCATGTCCCCGCGGCTCGTTTTCAGAGGTGAGTGGATGAATGAAGATCTCTGTCCACTGTGCTTGTTGATGAAACAATCTGTCTTTACAGGTGAAGATGTCCCCCTGTGTCCTGCTCACTGTCCTTTTTGCCCTTCCTCTTGCTCTGGGTAAGTTCATGAATATCTTGTTGGTGCACTTTTAATGAGAGGCCCTCTAGTTTCCTTACGTATAAATAATTGCTTAAATAATTGTTAACTGATCATTTACTAATGCTTTATATGTCACCTTAAGCCAAGAAAACAATTTGATCCCTTTGACTGGTGTAAATCCTTTTTTATGTGATAAACCATCAACTGCATTGTTTTCCCTATTTTGATAAGACGTACAGTTTTAGAATACAACTGTTAATGAAGTCATCAATAGAGAGTCACAGATGTATCACTTACTAAAACGCTGCCAGCTGTCATGTGCAATTATAAATACAAATGCATTGATACAAGTCATCAATAAAGGGTTCTTAACATAATCGGTCAAATCCACAGTTGTAAATGTGTATTTGAGGATAATAAATGGATCTTGTTCGGGAAGTCAGAGGTCAAACAGTCCATTTGATCGTCTTTATTTTCCACAAACAAAGTCTGGGGAAAAGAAGTGGCTTTCCAGATTTGTCAGCCTATTGATTGTTGATAAACTCCATTGATTAACACCTGGTGGCTTCTTTTGTTTAGGTTGTTTTGGGGAAATGCATTGCTGTTTTGTTAGGCAGAAGTTCAGTGTGTAATTGCGCTGATTTAATGAACTAAAAAGGCAAATCAAGTGTCACACTAGAGGAGGATAATCACCACAGCCTGGAAAACCAAAACAATATTCTTATTAATGATTATTAACTGATCTATAAAGAAGTAATTAGAAGTAATAATAATGATGATACCTTATTTGTATAGCTCTTTCCTTAACAAAGTTACAAAGTGCTTTACATGGAAGAGGAAATAGCTAATAATAATGGCAAACAACGAGATCATTAAACACAGGGGATTGAAAAGTTAAAACTGGGAAGAATATAAAATAGCAGTGATGGAAAGGTAAAACTAGAACAAAAACATGCATAAAAGTTTTCTTTTAAACTAATATTAAGATGTAGCCCGTCTAATCACAGTACAGTGTCTTTAATAGAACAAGGACAGCCTGATCATGTCTGTCAGATGCCAGAAGGTCATTGGTGACCTTAACAAGAACTGACTTAGTCCTGAGAGTTATGAGAGGTCTAATCATTGTGCTGGAGAAGATGAATAATAATCAGATTAATTCTGCTCCCCCCATAGGATGGGTTGTACCAAGTGAGTCAAATGCATCACACATCCTTCACCTACAAAACATATTCTCTGAAGAGGTTGCTGACTTTCTTTTCTACTACAGGTGAAAGAGAAGAAGCCCAGATGTTGTGTGTTGGGAGGGAATTCCGTCTGCCTGTGTACTCGACATCCAGAATGGTGACTTTTACACCAAACAATGAGGGACCGCGGCGCATCCTGCTGGACAAAACCATTGTGAGTGGAAGTGTGTTGCTGCTTCTGTGATGTGCGTCTGTACCAGTTACCAAAACCTATTTATTGTACAACTGCAGGTAAAGGACCCGCGGTTTGAGTGGACCAGAGATAAGATGCTAGTTCTGAGAGAAGTGACTCACAGTGATGAGGGACTTTATGCCATCAAGCTGTTCTCTGGATTTACCTACGAGGCTGTTCGTTTGACTATTTCAGGTACAATAGTCTCCTCCCTTTCTGAAATCCAGCCCTGTGTTCTTTTCACGATATATCACCAATAAAACCATTACAAGAAGTTTAGAGGGGCAATGTCTCTTTGGTGGAACTGCTGACAAACTCAAAGACACATCTGAAATGTAATAAATGACATCAAATAGATACTGCTTTTTAGTAAGGGGTCACAAGTTAAAAAAGTTCTAACCTGCTTTAAACTTTAACAATCATTCTGCATTTTAAGCACATTTTGTGTTTTTTACGCAAAATCTCAATCTGAAAAGTAATCAGTAACTACAAGTGTCAATGTAGTTTAATAAAAAGAAAGTTAACTTCTGAAATGTAGAAAGTGAAAGTCCCTCACTCCTTTGTCCTGCTTCAGAATGCATCAAGTCCTACCGCAGAAACTACGGGGATATATTTGAGCACCACCTCCCTGAAAATGGCTTCCTACTGGAGTTTTCTCCCTGGGGTGCCCCACCTGAGGCCATGCCAGTTGTTCTGTGGAACCGGACGGACCCTGTGACCAGCGAAGCGGGCCGGGGGCGGCTGCTGCGGGGAGGGAGGTTCTGGGTGGCCGAGAGAGTGACGCAAGCGGACCAAGGCAACTACACTGTGAGGGACAGCGGGGGGGAGGTCCTGTCCCGCAACACTCTCACTGTCCGCGGTGAGCAAAGATGGAAGATGACATGATGACTTTTAGCAAGCTAATTAATGAATTTCTTTAACTTTAGGGTCCTGTCATCTATAACATCTATATTTTATCTTTCCCTTTCCACACAACACCTTCTCATACCGTCGCATTTCCTTCATTCTGCACCCCTGTCTTTGTGGTCATGATCCTGGGTGCAGGGCACTCATTCAATGTCACCCGCTTTACCAAGGAGTCTCTAAACCTGCCCCTCTTTCTTCCTGTCCCTCATGCCCACCTCATATTTACCCCCACCCGATACCCTGACGAATCCTCCCTGGGCCCTTTTGACCCCAAGCCCACCCGTGGCTCAGTGCAGCTGATCCGCGAGGGCCATATAACGAACCACGACATGCGCTACAGGGGCCTCATCTCGCTGGGCAGGAACGGCACCATCAATGAGGTTGTCATAGCGAGGCTGAGTTTAAGGCATGAGGGGGTGTATGAAATCAGAGATGTGGTTGGCAACCTGGTATCCTCCACCTGGTTACAGGTGATCGGTGAGTGACGGCATGTCTTTCAATGTGCTTCTTATTTTTATTCTGAATTTCTTGTTTCCTCATGACATCCGTCCCGTCTCTGTGTCTCTGCTCTCTCCAGAAAAGGGAGTCAGATGGCGAGCACTTCTCAAGTCCATTACTGTCCCTTCTGGCATGTTTGTGTCACTGGTTGGTTTCATCCTGTTCATGAGGCGATACCCAAACTGCAGCCTGTCGCACATCATCGCTGTCCTCAGAACAAACCGCACGCCACCGGCCAACCCTCCGAGGGTTAACATCCAGGTGAGGAAATCAGGAGAACCTGGTTAGTGGCCCTGCTGTTTGAAACAGCTGTGTAGGAGAATTTATATGAGGGCTGTACGTTTAGCTTCCTGTCATGTTCTCAAAATACATCTGCTCTCTCTCATTTTATTATGTAGTAGGTTTTGTAATTATATGAAAGATTGCATCTAACTTTAAATACAGTTTCACATTTTTACAATGTCAATTGGTCTTTATGTGATTTGCAGCAGTTTTCATATTTTTTTGATTGTAGATACATTTAAAAAATATCAAATAAATATACCAGTTCAGATAAAATTCAAAATATAAAAGGGGGTAGTTTGTATGCATTTAGGTTGGGGGAGAATACATAGCATTAGTTATTAGATAATGTAGACCATGTGGGGAGTTTATATGGAACAGATTAAATAACCATATGGCATTAACACAGCCATCACAGGACTCCACTGCTTTATGCATCTAGGCTTTTGGAGCTTTACTGCATATGTGAATTAATCCATCTCTTTAAGCGTCCATACTTTTTGAATCCATATCGTAGACTGTAAAGTCTTTGATCCATATGTTGTATGAGGAATGCTTGAAGGCCTGTCCATTGAAAATCCTTCATAAATGTGCATAATGTGGCTCAAGCCTTCTGAGGCCTTGTTTTTGCCAAGAAGCGGAGGTTTATTGAAGCAGACATACAACGAAAACATACAGTCAGGCGACAATTAAAGAAGAAACCTGAATAAATGAATGGAGATGGAATTAGACAGTTCTGTCCATCACCATCATCAAAACATCAAGTGAGGGAATATCTGTTGAAAGAACGCTCTTCACCCGTCCATTAGAGACCCATATACTTCAACAATCTTTGACAAGGAGCATTGAAGCTGTTCTAATGTCTCCTGGTGGTCCATCTCCTTACTAAGTCACTTTATGTTCCTGTTTTCTTAATTTGTTACCCATCTGTAGAACATGTGATATGATTGAAAGGTTTAGGTATCACACAAAACGAAGCATGATAAGTTAAGTTAAGTTTCATTATATCAAGTCAGTTGTGAGCTATTCCTTGCACTGTGTCATCAAATCAAGTGGCTGCGCTGACTTTGACATGTCTGTGTGTGTTTGTCTCTGCAGGATTACAGCCATCCCAGCCCTCAACCCTCAGGCTTCTACAGTCACTCTCAACCGCCTGAAACACCAAGAAAATGTACCCCGAGAGCCAGTCCCACTCATACTGTAAGGCTCGTAGACTGAATTAAATCAGTTGACAGGTTTTGTGCCTTTGCTTAAAATTGCTCAATAGCATTGTGTGTGTGTGTGTGTACATGTACCATAAGTGCTGTTGTGTGCTGCTGCTTGTATTTCTAGGGTTACAGTCCTGTTGTGGTAGGAACTCCGATAGCTGAGAATCAGGAAGCACACAGATTGGCAGCAACGAGCTCCCCTCGTCATAATTCAACCACTGAGGTAATACCACACTCCAGCTGTGAGTATTTGTATTTCACAGACTGAAATGTTTTTCAAACATGTGTTTTCACTCCTTCCTAGCGGGACACATCCCACAACAATGAGGAAGAGAGAAGGATTTCCTTTTCGGTGCCTGGGGCTTCAGACTGCCTCCACTCCTCTGAGGACTGTGTTAAATTCCAGATCAAAAAAGATGGAGATAAAGACAGGAGGAGCACGTCACAAGGTTACTTTTCCACCCTGCCACTAGACAGGGACACCTCTGAATCCTGCAGTGTTTACACTTCTGAGAAACTGAACTTCTTGTAAAACAGAGAATTGGAGCTGAACGAAGAAGACGAAAGAAGAAGTAACATAAGGCATGGAGGAGCTACAGTATCGAATTAGGAAAATAAATACCCCACCTGTGCCTTTTGCATCTTAGCCTCGTATTAATGGTTTAGTGTGATAATTGCATGTCATTTTTTCATATGATTTTTTTATGAAGCATGAGTTGAGCATTAGCCTTCCTGTCTCATTTTACATATTTCTTGACACTGATGATGGTGCTCCTGAAATCTCCTGCTGTTACCTACCTCCAGACCCTCAGGACCAGTATGATCTGCACTGTATTTGCTGAGTGTTGGTACGAGTGTGTTTGTGATGTGATGTCTAGGGCTATGTAGAAATAAGAGTTGTGATACAAAAAGTTTGAAAAAGGGAATTCTAAAGTACTGTACAGTAATAGAGCGTTTGTTAATGTATCTTTCTCCATCCACCATGTCAACCATTTCCAAATGCAACAACAATTAATTAACATGTTCAATGTCTGCTCAGCAGTTCAGTGATTTTTGCAGTGGTATAGTGTATTTACCCCTGAGGTAATTGTAGTAATAGCTTTGTGAATTGTAACATGTTCCACCAAATATTGCAATAGCCTATTAATATATAAACTTTGTGTACAGGATAATATGTTATCACCAAATCTTTCTATGGAAAAAACAGATTGGACTGCTGCTTGTGATATTTTTGGACGTTCAAATGTCATCTCTTAAACAATAAATATATCTTTAACACACACTTTTAGATGATTTGTACTCCAATCTACAGTACGTTTGGCTGTAAAATATATATTTTTAATTATTGTTGATTAACCTGTGATTGGTTTTCATGAATTGTCAGAAAATGTAATTGAAAATGTCAGGAAGTCAACACCATCAGTTCACAAAGCCCAAGGTGGCATGTTAAAATTGCAAACCCTACGATATTCCACTTATTTTAATAGAAACTGAAGAAAGCACGTCATATTCATAATTTAAAGGTGTAAACATCGAATGATTTGCATTTTTGTCAGATTTGTCGTCCATTAATCTCCTGTCTACCCACTCCCTATTACAGCACCCGTGTTTGGTGCATCGATGAGAGCAGTGGCGTTCCTCCGGCGGTAGAGGGCGGTGGAGCCGCTGTGCTTTGCAGAGACTGCTGGAAAAAAGCGTAGAAGAAGAAGTCCGTTTGTAGCGGCAATGAAAAGACAGCGTGCCATTTCCAATTTGAGCAAAACATAAGGAAAGATTACTTTAGCGATAATAACTATCGAGGCACAGTACTAGCATAATTCCATTGTTAGAAGAGACCACAAGGACTCTGTTGGAAAGATGTCTTTGGTTTGTGCAAGTAAGTGAAGTTGGATTCATTGATGTGACGGAGGAAGTATAGGTTAGCTAGGCACCAAGCTAATGCTACATGCTAATGTAGCTAACGCTAACGGCCATGCAGTACCGTCTTCTACTTATGATTGTCGATCTGTCCGGTGTGTGGTTGTTTTATTCTCGGTATTGTGTGATCTTTAAGCTGTAACTGCTTTGTATCTAGTCTCCAACGAGGTGCCGGAGCACCCGTGCGTCTCCCCGGTGTCCAGCCAGGTGTTTGAGCGGAGGCTGATCGAGAAGTACATCGCAGAGAATGGGACCGACCCGATGAACGGACAGCCCCTGTCGGAGGAGCAGCTCGTAGATATCAAAGGTACGACTCCTGCGAGCAGCTTGAGATCTACACCACGGTGCCAGTTTATTAGTTAATGTTACACCTAGATAAAACGAATGCAGTTTAATCGCTCAGTGTAACAGAGCGCTATTCAACTGCGTTGCTAAATAGCACCCAAAATGAATGAATGAAAACTACTCTAAAGCAGCGTCAACCAAACGTTATATGTTATAAAAAGTTATATGTAAGTGATATTATTGGTAATATTTTTAGCCAATATTGTGAAATTGATGAACAATGCAGCAACTAATGATTATCTTCATTATTGGTTAATCTAGGTATTATTTTCTCAATAAAACCTTTTATAGAATGTCAGAACATAATGAAAAGTGTTGAGTCACGGTGTTTTAAGGCCTAACATGGATTTGTAATATAATTCTTGTTTCATCCAACAAACGTAGGAAATATTTGATATTTTTGCATTTAAAAAGTTTAGTCGATTATCAACATAGTTTGTCAATTGACCCATTGTTTGATTGACCTATTGTTTTAGTTGTAGTGATGTTTTAACACCTATTTCTGCAAATGAGATGTTGTACTTCAGTATAAATCCCCAATTGTAGAGTACTGTATGACTTATCCTATAGCAAGTGTTGCTGAAAACTAAAAACTTTAAGTAAATGTACAGTAAAAACGAGACCACTTGTTCTAAATATGAGCAACGTTTCTCTGTTTTAGTGTCCCATCCTATTAGACCAAAGGCTCCATCGGCAACCAGCATTCCTGCCATTCTCAAGTCCCTTCAAGATGAGTGGGTAAGTGTTGTTAACCGTGAGGAGAAATCCACAACTAAACACCTTCATACTGTAAACTGTACCCGGAGCGTCTGTTTTGAATCAACAGGTGACTTTTTGTTTTCATGCCATTTTTAACCCACATTCTTGATGGTAATAAACCTGAAGTGAAGCAGAACGTACCAATCATTTCAATGACTTTAGGAATATTGATTTCAGACAATGAGAAGAGTTCCATCCTCCCGTTTCCCTTTCTGTTTTTAGGATGCGGTTATGCTTCACAGCTTCACCCTACGGCAACAGCTGCAGACCACTCGCCAAGAACTGTCCCATGCGCTTTACCAACATGATGCCGCCTGCAGAGTCATCGCTCGACTCACCAAAGAGGTCACTGCTGCGAGAGAAGGTGGGTCGACGGTCCGTGTGTCCTCTATTGTAGGACATGGCTCCACTTGTAAAGCGCAAAGAACTGCTTTTAAACAATCACCAAGTCTGTCCAGAATCTGACCCGCAAATACAAGAGCTCATGGATTATATTGTGAAAGCATTTTTCTCTAGTGGGGTCTATTTTCTATTTACAGCTCTTGCCACACTCAAACCCCAGGCTGGATTGGTTGCCCCTCAGGCAGTCCCCGCCTCCCAGCCAGCTGCAGTGGTGAGTGATTGATATTAGTTCCACTCGATAAAGATACTGAACATAAATGTTTATCAAAATCCTTCATCCTTCCATACTTGCTCCTGACAATCTGTTGCTGCCCTCTGTGTCTCAGGGTGCTGGCGGAGAGCCCATGGAGATTAGTGAACAGGTGGGGATGACCCCGGAGATCATCCAAAAGGTAAGTTGTTTTTATCTACTTAATCTTTATTTGTCTATAAGGTCTAAGATGTTTCAATATGCCTGTTTTCTGTTTGCAGCTTCAAGACAAAGCTACTATCCTCACCACAGAAAGAAAGAAGGTATTGTGTTGCTCTTTTATTTAGCTTCTTTGTGCCCATTGCTCCTTTTAATACCTCAATGTTGTGTAAAGTTAATCTAGCACAAGTTTATAACCGTTGTGGTACTATGTAATATACACTCATTTCCACTGCTTTGATGTGTTTCTCCAGAGAGGAAAAACTGTCCCAGAGGAGCTCGTTAGATCTGAGGATCTCAGCAAATACCGCCAAGTGGCCTCTCACGCTGTAAGTTTGGATTTCTATCTGTTTTTTAATATGAATTACATTTTTTTCTTTTCAATCAAAGGGCTGTTTTATTTACTTGATGAGCATGGTGTCAACAACATATCTCTTTGATGCCTTCAGGGTCTTCATAGTGCCAGTGTCCCTGGTATTCTGGCTCTGGATCTGTGTCCCTCAGACACCAACAAAGTTCTCACCGGTACGTGGATTTCATCCAATGTGTTTTTTGTGATTTGTTGACACACTACAAGTCATTTGAAGACTTTTACTTTGATATCGATCCTCTCGTGTTCTTCAGGTGGAGCTGATAAGAACGTGGTGGTGTTTGACAAGAGCGAAGAACAGATTGTGGCAACACTCAAGGGTCACACCAAGAAGGTTACCTCTGTCATCTACCATCCATCCCAGGTAACGCTTCAAACATCCACCAGTCACATCTTTCTCCAACGAAGGCATTCTGTTGAGTTGTTGTTGTTCTTACTCATTGGTGTTTTTTTTCATCCCTTACATCCTTGCTCCCCCTCTAGTCGGTGGTTTTCTCTGCATCTCCAGACAGCACCATCCGTGTGTGGTCCGTCGCCGGAGGAAACTGTGTCCAGGTGGTGCGTGCCCACGAGGGAGGCGTCACCGGACTCTCCCTACATGCTACTGGAGACTACCTGCTCAGCTCCTCTGAGGATCAGGTGTGTGTGCCAACAGACCTCAAGTTACTGAAATACAAGTGACATCTTCACTGGTTTAACCACACTGATATCTTTTCCTCACTGTTCTGCAGTACTGGGCCTTTTCTGATATCGAGACCGGTCGAGTCCTCACCAAAGTTACTGATGAAAGTGCTGGCTGTGGTAAGTGCCTCAATGTAAAAGTGGCATTGTGAATAGGAGGCCTCCTGTTCCAGGTGGTAATGTTTCTGTCTGCCCCCTACAGCTCTCACCTGTGCCCAGTTCCACCCTGATGGTCTCATCTTTGGCACTGGGACGGCTGATTCCCAAATCAAGATCTGGGATCTGAAAGAGCGCACCAACGTGGCCAACTTCCCCGGCCACTCTGGCCCCGTCACCTCCATTGCTTTCTCTGAGAACGGATACTATCTGGCTACAGGTTAGAACCACTGGGCATTCTTACTGATGATCAAGTGTTCTACATTGGGTTGCAAAGTTGCAGGAACATTTGGGAACACCAACAAGTTCCTCACATTAACTTGTACACTGATCTACAATATGTGAAAGTGCTCCTAGCATCTTGTTTTGGGGATGTGGAACTATATATTAAATAGTTTGCTAACGTAATGGTCTGGTGCTGTGCTCCAGGGGCCCAGGATAGCTCCCTGAAACTGTGGGATCTGAGGAAACTGAAGAACTTCAAGACCATCACTCTGGACAACAACTATGAGGTAAGAAAGTGCAAACTAAATTAAATTGGAAATCCGAGCTTAGAAAGCACATTAACTTGATCACACCCATCCTAGGCCAAGACAAGATCAAACTCAGTGTTAAAAATGCTTGATTATTTCTTCCTATTTTTCACTAGACTCCCATTTCTCCGTTCCTCTGAATCTCATTCCTTTGTGTTTTTATTTGTCTGTTTCAGGTGAAATCCCTCGTGTTTGACCAGAGCGGAACCTACCTGGCTGTTGGAGGGTCTGACATCCGTGTCTACATCTGCAAACAGTGGTCCGAGGTCCTCAACTTCACAAGTGAGTGGAAAAAAGAATAATTTCGAATGTTCATGCAGCATGCATGTCATATGGTGTTCGCTCTGAGGAAGTAGCCGTTTCTTAACCTTGCTTTTGCCTTTCTAATTGTAGACCATACAGGATTGGTGACTGGAGTGGCCTTTGGAGAGAACGCTCAGTTCCTGACCTCTGCAGGAATGGACAGAAGTCTCAAATTTTACAGTTTGTAGAAAATGATAAATTCAGGATGGAGAGGACAACTTATTGGTCCCTTGGTCTCAACGGTCACTATTCTGGACACAGACCTGTAATTCTTAGAAGAAGAGAGAGAAAAAAAAAAATCACTGCTAACTTTGCTTCCTTAGTGTGTTAGTCCTCGTGTCCAGGAATGACACCACATGAAATTGTCTGCTCTATGAAACCACAGCAGCATGGTTAGGATGACATGTCTGTTGGCATTGTAAGTCTGACATGTAAATGATGTGAAATGAGATGCAAAGCCAGTAAAATGTTCTTGTCTGATTTGCCACCAATTATGACTTTACTGTAGTGTTTTCTTTTGTGTGTATGTGGAGGGGGGGGGGGGGGGGGGGCGTCTAAAGTTGCTTGTAATACAACTCCCAAAGTGTCGTGGTACACTGTTGGGGACAATAATTGGTGTGACAACAACCTGGTTCCCTTATTAATGTAGACGTTCTTCATTGAAGTATCTTTAGGGTAAAATGAAAAAATACAACAAAGCGGAAAATGAGCAGGTGTGAGATTCATGTTCCTCTGAAATATTTAGTCTTGTTTAACCTCCCTTCAGTTTCATTTCCCGTTTCATTTGTTCCTTTTAAACTTTTGTCGTTTTCCAATTGTATATTTTTCATTACTTGCTATTTTACCTGTTGCAACTCTGCCCTTTTACAATAAAATAAAATATCTTTTGTATTGCCATTCATCTGTGTGTCGGATCAAGACGAAGGGCACTGTTGGATCCTCGACATGCATCTGAATAAATTCACTTTGCCTTCATTTACAGCCATTTGAACGGGTCTCACTAATTAACGATGCTCAATAAGTGCATATTAGTCCATAGCTGCCTTATATTTATTTGCTGTCCGTTGTTTTATGATAAAGTCGAACCAATGGTGTGCTTGCTTATAGTTGTTTCACCTGGATGGTTTAGCTTCACTGCAAAATGATGCGCAGTTTGACACAGGCTGTTTTTCACATTGACAAGATGTAAAGTTTCTGTGCTCACCTTGTTTATTCGACGTATGTTAGGATTTTGAGGCATCACACTGGTTTAGATGCTAAGCTTGGTTCAGTAAGCCACTAACACAAGTTTAATGTGGGAACTTGAAGCAACCTTATCTTACATTTGACTTTTCAATGAAGTAGAAAACCTCATGTGCCCAGTTGGTTAAAGCTTTCAAATTAAATACATTTGTTTTCATATTTTGACTTTTAAAAATGAGTAAATGTGAATGTATGACTCAATCACGAAGTGATTTAACCTTTTTATGTGAAAAAACAAACCCAGTTAAGCATTTTTAGGAGGTAATATCAAGTAATCTGTAGTGTATTCTTCCACCAATTATGTTGGTATTTAAATTCATAACGTAAAGGACGTTCTCGGTCTTGCAATCGTCCGTTAGGAATGAGTGACTGATCAGAAAATTACAATATTACTATAATTAACTTATTGTGTAATACTTATTTGACACGTTAGTTTAATTAGTCATGCCACTCATGTCATTAAGACCGAACCAAACTACCCCATCATGCATGATGTCTTTTATCTAAGCGTGACAGAATAATATAATTTAACATCTAGCTGACGTCAGACGGTAAACTTGACTAATGGTCCACGTCTCGATCCGGAGCCCTCGTGGCCAAAATGAGAGACGAACGCCGAACTGTCACGTGAGCCCGGCAGTAACGTGACTTCCACAAACGGGAAGTGCGAGAAGAACAGACCGATAACTTCTGGCAAACACGTCTGGTCTCGCTCTGTGTACACAGTCACCGGTCTATCCGTCGGTACGGGGCTGGACAGCCTGAAACACAGCGGATCTGAGCGTCCAGCGGGGGTCTAACAGGCAGACAGGTGAGAGGACGTCCTGCGTCTTTCTGTGCTCATTTACAGCTGTTTCTATTCTTCTTATCTGTCCACAGAGAACGCACCGCCGCTATTATCATATGACGGATATCAAAACCTTGTGCTACATTTCGATTCCGTCACGGGATTCCCCTCGTCAATCATGAGTTTTCATTTAACGTTTTTAAAAGTTACATCTTTTGTTCGATTTCCATTCTTTTTAAGACTTGTTTCAATAACAGGAGACGTTAAAATGAGACTTATTGTCCCATTTATGATTATTATTAAGAACAATGTAGACGGAGACTTATTACTCGTTTAAGGAAATGTCAAAAGTTTCTTTGGAAATATTTTGTCTTTGTATAACGTTACTTGAATGTAGGTGTGTGAACTACAGTCTGACACAGCTGCCCTGCAAAAACTAGTATTAATGCAACTTCATGGTCATTTTGGAGGGTGTAGTTTTTGGTGCTGCTTTGGTATTTTATCCACCACATTTATATCAACAAAGTCCGTCTTTATACAACACAATGCAACTCAACAAGCACCGCAAACAGCAGCCTCCAAAAAGACCACACAGTTGAATCAACACCTCTCTGAAACAGGCCCATCAAAATCTGAACACCTACCCTTCATAAAGGTTTATTGCAGATCTTTTGTCTCGGAATACATTCCTGTTAGCTTTGTTTATTTTATTAACTGGCAACCAAATGTATATTTTTATGTAGCAATGTTTTTTTTTTTTGTATATTGAAGAGGGATTTAGCTTGCAACAAAAAAAAAAATAAATGAGAAACATGTCTGTGCAAAAATGGAAATCCCATCTGATCATCACAGTCACGGTGACTCGATGCTTCCCTTTTCTCCAGTTTCCGCTCATTAACTTCTCCATGGTCACACAGAGGATTTTATTGTCCTACTGAAAATAAATGCCCCGTGTCAATTACTGCCTCTCTCCTCTATACTTTCTCAATTATATCCCTCGTTCCGCTATAAACTGCTGTACTTTGACTACGTTTGATAGTTTTTCTTGGAAAACATTCATTTTGATTTTTTTTTTTCCCGTGCAGGCAGTTATGGGCTCCATGTTTCGCAGCGAGGAGGTGTGCCTGGTGCAGCTCTTCCTTCAGTCAGGCTCGGCCTACAATTGTGTCAGTGAGCTGGGAGAACTGGGCCTGGTTGAATTCAGAGATGTGAGTTATTTAACCTCTTGGTTCATGATCTTGTGGTTAAATGAGTAAAGTCAAATACAAATGGAGGCCCATTACTTTTCCACGTGTACCTACTTTGCCCCCTATGATGCTTATAATGCCTGACGTGCGAGCCACAGATTGTTTTCATGTGTTTTGGCTCCTATTAAAAGCATCTGATGATCATTACTCTCGTGGGGTAAATGTGATTATCTTATGAAGTCACTTTGGAATCCGAGTTTAGATGAGACGGTGAACTGATGGTTGTTTTGAGTCACTGTGAGACATGAATAACCCTTTTCCTCTCCCCTCTGCTCTGATGCTTCAGTTGAATCCTAACGTGAACGCCTTCCAGAGGAAGTTTGTCGGCGAGGTCAGGCGATGTGAGGAACTTGAGAAAAGTTTTAGTAAGTATTGACTCATTGTTCCCGACCTGTATCTTTGTGCATGTTTTTTTTCTATGTGTTACTTTTGTTGACCTTTTTTATCTGCCCTTTCAGCCGTCTTGGAGCAGGAGATCAATCGCTCCCTGTCTCCTCCCTTGCAGTGCCCCCTCCCTCCTCCATGCCCAACACCTTTGGCCCCTCAGCCTCGTGAACTCATCACCATAGAGGAGGAGTGCGAGAGGCTGGCCAGAGAGCTCAAAGAGGTGAGCGCTTAAAACAAGGCTGACGTGATAAATCAAAGCAAAGACTCTGTTGTCTCATTAGCACAATTTCAAAAGAGGTTGAACTTATTGGCCTGACACATTTTGTTGTTGTTGTTGTTGTGTCTTACTAGGTGTCCAGGAACAGAGACAGCCTCCGGGCTCAGCTGACCCAGCTCTGTCAGTACCAAGGAGTCCTGACCAGGACACACACTCTCACAGCCTCACTGGTGGGGAAAAAAAAAGACATTTCTGCAGCAATTCTTGCATCATGTATTACCACTTTGCTGGTGTGAGTAAACTGTCTGTAAACTAAAACTACAAATAAACTTTCTTTGGCTTCATCTCTCAGGCACCACCACCTGTACTGGAAAGCCAAGGGCTGTTTGATAACCGCCAGGATATCCACCTTAGGTAGATCTCATTTTCTAAAATGTCCATTATGTTCTTAATGTTTTAATCTACATTCAATGTTTTGAATGTGTCTGCATCTCCTCTCTCTCAGTTTTGTGGCAGGAGTTGTCCATCCTTGGAAGGTCCCTTCGTTTGAACGGTTACTATGGCGGGCATGTCGAGGTTATATCATTGTGGATTTCAGAGAAATGGAGGATCGACTCGAGCATCCTGACACGGTGGGAGCTGGGAGACAGAGGGAGGGGATCATGGTTGAGAGATGGACATGAAAGTTATTTCTGTTCCAGGGACAGTCGCTGATCATTTGTCACATCTGAGTTTTCTTATGGGTGTTTCATCACAGCCGTTTGCTGTCTCTTTGGTTGCAGGGGGAAATGGTACAATGGACGGTGTTTCTCATCTCCTTTTGGGGAGATCAGATTGGACAGAAAGTCAAGAAGATATGTGACTGGTGGGTAAATCTGTGCATCAGTTTGATTTTTTTTTTTTTTTTTTTTCGGGTAAATTTCCATACGACAATGCCCGTTGAACCTGTTGATGAATGTCTTTTCATTTCCCCTCCTCACAGCTTTCGCACACAGACGTTTGCGTACCCTGAGAGCACTGCTGAGAGAGAGGAGATTCTCCAGGGACTTCAAGGCAGAATTGAAGATATCAAATCAGTAAGTGCAATGCATGCTTATGAAAGCACAAATCACAGTTTGTTGAACACTGATGCAATCGCCAGCATTTGCTCTCTCTGTTGAAATGTCTGCATCTGTACCGCTTGAAAATATTAGAAAGCACAAATATAGCGGTAATGTGGCTTTCCTTCAAAGAAGCATTTTTCTCTCTCGGTTATTCTAAAACGCACTCACTTCCCTGTACTTCAGGTGCTCTGTCAGACCGAGTCCTTCCTGCAGCAGCTGCTGATGCGTGCGGTGGCTGTGCTGCCCCAGTGGAAGGTGCGTGTGCAGAAGTGTAAGGCCGTCCAGATGGTGCTGAATCTCTGCAGCCCCTCCGTCACAGACAAATGCCTGATCGCTGAGGCCTGGTGTCCCGTTGCCAAGCTGCCTGAACTGCAGAGCGCTCTGAGAGAGGGAGGGGTAAGTTGTAGATGAGGAGACTTGACATAGATGAGTAAACCAGCTAATTTCTCACTCTCTTCACCCGTTTCCAACTCTCTTCTCCGTCCTCAGAGGAAGAGTGGAAGTGGTGTTGACTCTTTCTACAACCGCCTGCCCTCCTCCACACCTCCACCTACCCTGTATCCCATCAACTCTTTCACAGCTGGTTTCCAGAACATTGTTGATGCCTACGGAGTGGCCAGCTACCGGGAAGTCAATCCAGGTACGTCTGCACACCTCTAAAAAAAGGTTTCTTCATTAATGCTTTGAAAGAAGGATATGATGCTCAAAGTTAAAGTCAAAGAGTGTATTGTAAGTCAAGTCTTTTTTCTCTTATGCCTCTGCAGCGGTGTACACCATCATTACATTCCCCTTCCTGTTTGCTGTGATGTTTGGGGATGTGGGTCATGGTTTACTGATGACTCTGGTGGCCCTCTGGATGGTCCTTGAGGAGAAGGACCCCAAATTGAGGAAAAACAGCAATGAGGTAATTCAGAGGATATTCACTCACAGTGCAACACACACACACACACACACACACACACACACACACACACACACACACAATCGTAAGCTCAACA